TGAAGTATCTTGTTGGTACAATGAACGTTGGACTATGGTACCCCAAGGGGTCTCCTTGTCATCTTTTTGGCTATTCCGACTCGGACTTTGCCGGTTGTAGATTAGACCGTAAGAGTACGAGTGGGACTTGTCACTTGCTTGGTAGTTCTTTAGTCTCATGGTTTAGCAAGAAGCAAGTCAGTGTTGTGTTATCCACAACTGAAGCGGAATATGTTGCCGCCGGTAGTTGTTGTGCTCAAACCCTTTGGATGAAGCAACAACTTGTGGATTATGGCCTTAGTATCGATCACGTCCCTCTTCGATGTGATAATATTAGTGCTATAAGCTTGACGAAGAATCCGGTTCTTCACTCAAGGACGAAACATATTGACATTAGGCATCATTTCATTAGAGATCATGTTCTCAAAGGTGATGTCGAAATTGAGTTCGTTGAAACACACAACGAATTAGCCGACATTTTCACAAAACCTTTAGAGAAAGAGTCGTTCTTCCGCATTCGTAGTGAACTCGGAATCCTTGACTCCACGATGATCTAAATTGTGCATTAATTATTATTTTTTGGTCCCTACTAACTTGAACGTCGGAGACATTTTTAATTCTTTTTGCAGGGCTCTTTTTTTTATTTTCAGGTGTCAAAGTCAGGGGGAACAAAAGAAATCAATTTCTAGTTCCCAGGACTGAGTGTAAATCGATTTACAGGCTTGTGATAATCGACTATCACAACCCACAGGAGTTGGAGCAAAGAAACTGAAGGAGCCAACAATCGATTATCAGCATTAAGATAATCGATTATCAGGGGCTGCAGAACTTTCTCAAAAGTCAGGCGCAAACTAGCAACAATCGATTATCAACTATAAGATAATCGATTATTTAAGCCTACAGAAGTTAAAGGCAACTCAGGCGCAAACTACAACAATCGATTTACAACCAGGCAAAAATCGATTATTGAAGCCTGTAGTTTCTTTGGCGGAGAATCTGAAGACTCAGATAATCGATTTACAGGGAGTGTAAATCGATTATCAACGGCGATTTTTCAAAAATCTGACCGTTGCAGAGACGTTGGAGAGCAGTTAATGCCTTGTTTGACCATCCCAACGGATCTCTACACCTCCTCCACTATATATTGGTGATATCTACTCCATTTTTACTCATTCCAATCATCTCTTCTCCATATATTCATCATAATTCATCATTCTTGATCCTATTCTTCATTTGTTTTTCAAAAATCTCTGCAATCTCTCTCTCCTCTCTTGTTGCAATGGCAGGCGGTCAAAGAAAGCGTTCCCACACCGGCAAGAACGTGGCTTCTTCCTCGGCTCCTCCACCACCGGCGCACAAGTACCTCGACGGGTCGTTCCTTTGGTTCAACGACCACGCAGAGGTGATGCGGTTCTCGGAGAAATTTGAGCACCGAGAGATTCTCCCTCCCCGATTCTCCACAGCCCGCTTTATTCATGACTCCATTCCACGTGAGGCACGGGTTATCCTCGAACGTGGAAACTTCCTCGATCTCCTCTACATCAAGAAGGTCAATTATCAACCCTTTCTTGTTCGAGCTTTCTACTCGAACTTGAAAAAGGATGACGACGGAGCCTTGATCTCTAACGTCAACGGGGTGGACATCTATTTGAATGAGGAGAACATTCAAGTCCTCACCGGGCTTCGTCGGGATTGTAACGCCCCGAAACCTGGCCCAAAAGAATTAATTAAATTGTTAGAGCAATTGATTACGAATTGGGCCCAATAAGGGGTTAAAATTATAATTTGGATTTTAAGCCCAACTTTTATGTCATCTCGTAGGAAATATTTTTGTGATCGCGTCGGTTTAGACGGCTCGCGAATCGGAGTTACAGAGCTCAAGTTATGACCATTTAATCAGGTATTTTGGGTCCGAATCCCAATCCTTTTTGGAATGGGACCATTAAATAAACCTAAACCTCAGCCACTCAAACCTTATCCTTCGTTTCGTCCGTTCCTTTTTCTTCTTTTTCTTCTTCCTTCTCCTTCTTCTTCTTCCTCCTTCTTCTCCTTTCTTCTTCGCCGCCGGAAGCCCGCCGCCATCGCCGTCGTACAATTGGAGCAGCCGCCGGCGTCGCCGTTCATCGCCGCCGCCAGTCGCTGCCCAGCGTCGCCCTTCCCCACCCTCGCCGCCGCACCAGCCAAACGCCGCTGTTTTCTTTGTCGGTCGTCCGCTGCCGTCGAGTTGCAGCGCCGCCGTCGCCAAGCCATCATCGCCGCCAGCCGCTGCCTCCTTCGCCTCCAGCCGCCGTCGCTCACCGCCGTGAGCCAGCGCCGGATGCCGCTGTTTCGCCCTCGCCGGAAACGAGCGCCGTCGAGTTGCAGCGTCGCCCGAGCCTCCAGCCGCCGTCGTCGGAAGCCAGTCGCTGCCCATCCTTCGCCGGAAGTCCGTCGCCTCCACTGCCGGCGTCCTTCCCCGCCGTCGATTGCAGCGCCGCCAGTCGCTGCTCATCGCCGTCGAACTGCCGCTCCGCCACTGTCGCCGGCGTCCGTCACCGTCGCCGCATCCGGCCGCTGCCCCGAGTTGATATCGCCGGCAGATTAACCTCCACGCCGGATTGATTGGTCAATTTCGTACTTTGACTCGATTTGACCCGTTCGCTTGATTTCGTTGATTTGTCTTCCGTTCGAGCTATCGATTCGATTTCGACGTAATCCAGGTCCGTACTATGAAGTTAATAGCATTCAGAATAGATTTAATGGTTTGGATCGTTATATGTGTTTATGCTATAATTTGGCTAAATTGGTTAATTGAATTAAATTGATTGTTTGAATTGAATTGTTGAGGATTGTGAATTGAC